ACTGACACAAGTCTATCATACCGTCTAAAGCACTCAGGGATTCTGAAATAAATGAAAATTATTGATCATAATGGAGTTGTAAGGTAGAGAAATAATGACGACATGTGCTATGTGTTGCCGAAACTAAATGACACCTTGCTAATGTTAATGAAAACAATGTCAGTTTGTAAAAGACACAACAGCTTCAGCTTCCACATATGTTAATACATGTATATACTGAAGTTTTAGTCTGTTGTTACATTGACTACTACTATCAGTCAGAACATCCTTCATAGTATATTAGTTAAAATCCAAGTGTATTCAGGTAGAACAAGAATTCCATGATCTCATACCACCTACCAACTTTCATGGCAATCCATCAAAAGCTTCTTGAGTTATTGTGCTAAATCACATACACACACGTACACACGCACACACACACACACAGTCACACACACACACACACACACACACACACAAATGCTACTGAAAACAAAACCTTCTTGGCGAAGGTATTAAAGCTCTGTGGTGGACACAGTTAAATGTTCAAAGTCAGAAGTAACTCTCACGTTTCTGGTTTATCCCAACTGGTTTTCATCTCGAACAGCAACCGAAGCTCTCTGTGGAGAAAGTTCAACCATGTCGTGAATATCTTGGAAACTTGACTGGTACTTATGCCGAATCGGCCCGCGATTTGTTGGTTGAAATCCCCTGATTTTAATTTCACAAGTCTAAGAGAACTCCTCTTCAAAAGATAATGATCTTTCTCTTTCCACTCCTCTTGGTAGGTGTGCAGTCAGTCTCCTGACCTCGCCAGTACTTTAGGTGACCTTTACATTATTTTCTTCAAATAGTCACTGACTGCAGAAAATACTGCAAAGTTTGGTAAGTTCGTGTACCTCTGGAAATCTTTATCACACTCTTTTACAGTGTCCAAACTAAATACTCTCTGCTTCAGCTGTGAATTTTCCTTTTCCAACTCCTGGATTTTCTTGTACAGTCTTGGCAATTCTTCATCATATATGGAAGGCTTCTCTTTACTTGTTTCTACATAGTCATGTCCATGTTCCTTCCATACGTGTCTAGAGTTTTCTCTTGCTTCCTCTTGCTTCTCCTTTCCCGCTGCTGTGCGAAGGCAATTTGGCGATTGCTTGGTCCTGGGGTCTCTTGATCATGTTCAGGGCTAGGGGACCATGTGTCGTGACGGCGCCATGGTACTGGTGTCACAGTCCCAGCCTGTATTGCTGTTTTCGAAGTTCTGGATTGACAAACTTTTTGCCAAGGGAAGACACTTGGTATGTAACCCGCAGACCCTTTCGTATGGGTGCGTTTCCCTACAAAAAAACAGGAAAAAGAAAATTGTATTATCTCAAAAGATAACTACAAAAATGTACATGTATACTCTGTGGAATATCTCTGAAATTTTGACCAAATTCCAAAATGTACACTTACACAGGTCAGCATATGTAATCATAATTTCCATTTGTAACCAGTATTGAAAAAAAAGAATGATAATACATGTATGTCTCCGCTGAACAACATAGTTTTCACTTCATTACGAACGTAATTTGCATTGCTTAATTCTACCATGGTCTGAGTTCTTTTTGAAATGAAATCACATCCACCAATTTTATGTAACGTTACCACAGACCACTCGACGGTGGGGGGAGGGGGGCGTCATAGCCAAATCATATCACATAACGCGGCGTAAGATAAACGTTATTTGTGAGGGGCAGGGTAGTTGTTAAAATACACAGATACGAATTATCGTACTGACTATTAAACTCACCTCCTACAAAATGATCTGAGCAGATCCTGTCGTAGTTGCTAGGGACCCAGTCCACTCGCCTTACGCTGGCCTCCCACAGTCGACGTAAATGTCGATTTGCCTCTCCTTGAGGGAACTTATAGTAGGACCTCTTTACCGTATCTGTTCCTTGTCGGTTTTTACACCCCGGCACGCAACACCTAGAACCTTGATAAATGGGTTTTTGTTTTCTGACGGCAAAAGCCGCCGCCATGCAAGCTTGAGAGTTCGAAACTAGACCGGATGTTGTCCGTCGCGCAAGGAATTGTGGGATTTGTGAACGGGGCGAATGAAATATGGGCTTGATATGTAAATGTAAATTTCCTCTTTAATTATGCAAATTACCTCCGCATTAACATGATATATGCATCGTGATGTATGTGAACTTTTGATTAACTTACAGATGTCCCAAGTATGACATTCCCATCATTCACCATTAAGAAATCATAGAATTTTTGCATAAATTATGCAAATAAGGTCATCATTTGCATAATTAGTATCTGTTGATGTTCTGCCTGCCATAGGTTACATACATTACATGTATGAAAGTAGTATAATGTAAAACACTGTAATTATAGAATTTCCTCATTAATTATGCAAATAAAGTCCTCATTTGCATAATTTGCATTTAATCATGTACATCTCTCTCTCAGCTACCTACACACCAAAAATTATGAAAATATGTTGTTCCTATCTTGACTTATTGGCTTTTAAACATTTCGCCAGAAAGTGCCCTGCAGTTCCAGAACAAGCTGCTAGGGGGACCAAACTCACACCACTTATTCCTGACAGGAAAAGCAATCTGTCACCAAAACATCAAGACCATAGCATGTTCAGGACAAAAGATACAAAAACCGGAAGTTCTGCTGCAGTACCAAGGTCATCCACCAGGAGGCCCATATTTGACCTTGACGTTTGTCTTCCTAAGACTTACCAACATACCAAATATCATCATAATCCATAAAGGCGTTCTGAAGTTATGCTGACCACAAAGTTGCGGAAACACAGACAGACAGACACACAGACAGACATACATACATACATACATACATACATACAGACAGACACGCCAAAAACAATACCTCCATTTTTCATGGAGGTAAAAAGGAGGTATTGTTTTTGGCGCGTCTGTGTGTTTCCGCACATTTGTAGTCAGCATAACTTCAGAACGCCTAAATGGATTGTAATGATATTTGGTATGCTGGTAGGTCCAAGGAAGCCGAAGGTCAAGGTCAAATATGGGCCTCCTGGTGGCTGACATTGGTACTGCAGCAGAACTTTTTTTTTTGAGGGAAAACAGATGTGCCGGTTATGCAACAAAACACCAGCTGTCAAAAGACTTCCTCTAACGCAAAACACGTGTGGTCAGGCAGCGCGCCTACCCGGTTTGATTAATGAGGTTTTCCCTCTGGAATAGCCTACATGTACCAAGTTGACAGCCTGACCTATTTGAAACCTGTGTTATTTTGTACTGTACTGTACTGTAGTGTACTGTGTAAAAAGATTTAGAAAAACTCATATATTTCATGGAGGTTTGAGATCTCCGAATTCTTGTTGTTTTTGTTTTCCAATATTCTAATGGATAACGTTACGTTTGCCTAGTGCCCGGTACTGGGTGGATTTTTGGCCTGTCCAGCTACAAGATTCCGGACGTTCGACAAACCGTTCTTCAAGCAGTTCCCGTACATACTGCCTTGCGCAGTAGTGGCATGTTTGGAGTTCTGCATTCTGATTGGTCAGTCTTGGCGTGACGTACACGTCTCTTGTTTTATCTGCTTTTTTAATCAAGATCATCAAGATCAGAGGTGAAAGTTATTTTCTAAAAGACCACATTTTTATTGATAGAAAATCAACCGTATTTGTAAAATTTAGTTACAACGAACTAAACTATATATAATCAAGTAACTTCCATGCAGACCTATATATAGGTCAAGTTGCCAAAACAATTATTTTTGGGATCAGAAAAATAGTATATAACACTAGAGAGGCCGGCATTTGCTTGGGAGCAAATACAGCATATTTCAGTCCATCTCCCTCCCACGCAAAAGTGGACTATTCCAAACTTACCCCAGTGTAAAACTGGCAAAGATTCTCAAATAAATGAATTCTATACAGTAGTAGTAGTAGGTATGTAATTGAGAACAAAGATGCAAGATCAAGCACATTGAATCTCGAAAGCTTTACTAGTCTTATTACAGGTATGCAAATACTAACAATGATGAGATTTGATACATTTTGAAGGTCTTAGGCACATAAAATTGAATGTGTGGGTCATTCCGCATGACTTACGTGCAATGTGACCTCAGGTAACCCGCAATGGAACACGTGTTCCATGGATGGAACCGGCCATTCTTTAGATAGAACATGGAACGGGTACAGCACTTTTGGCCCTTTTTTTGCTGAAAATAGCCATTAAAGTCCTCCAAATGAGTCATTTGGAAGTGGTGTATGCCAAATATGTGACTGCTATTCTGTAGACACATGTTCAAGGTACCCTTATACCGAATTTCAGATCATTTGATTGTAAAACCAGGGCTCAGGATCCAAAAATCCATTTTTTGGCGAAAAATGCCCCAAAAAACCTTCATAAAAATTTTTCAAAGGCATGTATCAAAAAAATGAAAAAAAAAACGCCTGGGGGTATTGGCCCACTCTACCTCCATGCCAAATTTCAAGTCATTTGACTGAATGATGGCGGAGTTGAATCCCTTTGACTGTTTGGCAGGAGGAGGAGAAGGAGGAGAAGAAGAAACACCAGAGAACACAATATATTTCATCCATACCATGGTATGGACTGAAATATAATGATACTATCTAACTAGAACAATTGCTCCTCCTCTTGAAGCAATGCAAGACTTTTTATACAATCCTTTTTTTTTAAGTTAAAACTTTATATCCAACACAATAAAGTTCTTTCACCTAGAGCTTTCGACCAGTCCTCAGTAGACTGTCCCAGTGAGGCTTGTATTTATGCGACGTCAGCACTGGGTCAAAGGTATCTGGTAGACGATGTCAGCCCCCGTCGCGGTTGAGTGAAGGTAAATAGCCTCTTTCACCCCTCTCAGGAAATAGTCGTGTTCAGTGTCCAATATTCTCACAGTGTCCAGTGAGTCCTGTGGGTGAAGGAACTTTATTGTGTTGGATCTACCGAAACAGATGAATTTCATGATAGTATAAGACTGTTTCTAGTATCAACTCAACAGTGCACCCGACTTTACGTCACTGTGTGTTACATGTTTCGTAAATAAAAATAATAATAATCTTACGAAAAATTTAAACTGTACTCCAACTCAAAATTTGACTCACCAGAAATTTTCGAATGAATCACTCAGTCTTCCTCAGCTATCTGACCCAAATGCTGTGCCGGGACGGGGGGCGATATCGACTTCAGACAACCCGGCACAGCATTTGGGTTCGAGTTCGAGATCAGTTTAAGTTTTTTATAATGTAATTTACCAACTCAGATGAACTTTCATGCTAATAATAATCTTGTTATGTCGTGGTTTTGACTCGTATTAATCTTTTCACAACAGGTGGCTGCATTTATCTGGGCGAATCTCTGAACAAGAAGCCCAAATATGATTACATCAGTCTAAAACAAATATCTACACAAGACGTGGCAGAAGACGAAAAGGAAAACTCCCATCGTGAGTAAATTAATGTAAAATTGTCTTGGCTACTAATTGGTCTATGTGTATAATCTACCCATCAGATGGTTATAATTGTTAAAAGTTAACTTAGAACTTATTTCACAACACACATTTCGTGTGTAATAAAATCTCAGTGACTTTTTAAAAAATGAAAATGCTCGTCAGTCGATTTTAGTAACAACGCGGGTTCAAAAACAGTAAAATTTTGCCAAATAGGGAAAATGATTGGCCACCGAAGAGCTTAAGCTAAGGTCCCAATTACGCCGGTGCCCGTCGGGGATGTAGCCCCGGTCGGCCCCGGTCGGGCTCAGGAGTCGGGCGGGCATCGGCTGTCATGGTCACAATTAAAAGTTTTCTTCAGTAGCATTTTGTTAAACGTTTTGTCACCCTCTTTGGTCGGTACCCGGTAGATTCTCTGACGATGCCTTGTACTGACCTATACGTAATGCAGAATTCACGCTTTTGTTGTGATCCTTTGATCTGTGACGTAACACATTAACCCGGGTTTACGAAGTACACACCTTTTTTCTGTTTCTCTGGTCTGTAACAAATGTAACAAATGTGTCCCGGTGGACTGCCGGCAACCGATGGGGTACCTCTCGGTGTTCTCACGATGAGGTCACGGCGTCTTTTTGTCAGCGGGGCCCGGTTAGAATTTAAGTCAGAATTGAATTCTTCTCGGGTCCCCGCCGGGCCCAAAAATAACCCGGTAGCCGCAGGATGTCCCGCAGGCCCACGTACGGGTCACGCCCGAAAGTGCCAAAAAAAACAGCCCAGGGACTACCCGGCAGGGCCCTTTTTTTCAATTTGGACCGAAGCATAAGTGAAAATGTGTTATTGTAATTAAATGAAAGATCACGTATGCAAAAGTGATAACAACCAGTATACGAACTGTGTTATATATTGATACGAATGTAGTGATAAAGTCTTTTATATCTTGTTTCATGTTCGTCAGTTTTATTTTTATTTTTTAGTTTTACAGCTCCACGCACATGTACAATTATTATTATATAGTAGCCCAGTGTAGAGTATCAAATATGTTTCTCTCAACATCTGAGATATGTTATAAATATGTAAACATTTGTTTTACGAATAAAAAAGATCAGGGGCAAAAAAAAAGTGGAAAATGCCTCCGCTCCTGAGGTGTCGCCAAAAAGTGTGTGACCCTGTTTTCCCCACCACAGGACAAGAGGAGTCCACCATCAGCCTGCTGCGGGACAGACTGGTGCTGATTTCCTGCGCGCTTTACGCTCTGTACGCGCTGGCGGGCATCAGTAGCTCCCAGGTAATAATAGTGGAGCAGATAACATCAATTTTTGGAGGAATCTTTCAAATTGTGATACAAGCACCAAACTTGGTATAAATACTCATGAGACATCACTCTTTTGAAAAAGAACGCGGGCCACTTGGTTTTACTTTTGGCGCCCCCTAGCGGCGCTTTTTGGTACTGCAGCCGACCTTCCGGGCTTTGTATCTCCTGTGCTAAACATGCTACAGTCATGATTTTTATGTGGTAGAAAGCTGTTAATATAAGAAAGAAGTGACGCAAATTTGGTGTCTCTAGCAGCTTGCGTTGGAGCTGCAGGGGCGTTTTTGCTGTTGCAGAATTTGCTCCAAGGAAAGGACTTTTTGGTCGGCTGCAGTACCAAAGAGCGTCCTTGGAGCAAATTGTGCACCGGCAAAAACGCCCCTGCTTTCTTCTTTCTTACCCCAACAGCTTTCTACCATTTCTACCACATAAAAATCATGACTGTAGAATGTTTGTATCACAATTTGAAAGCTTATTTCAGTTATTTGCCCCACTATAAGGCCCTGTCACATATAGCCGATCTCGCGAATACTACAGAGTATGTACCTCCCGATCACTGCTGAACTCCCTACTAAAGTATGGTTAGGTGTAGGTCGGGAGCAAGGACGGCTGTGGATTTTTTTCACAATGTTTTAAACATTCGGGTGGGATCAGTAGTGGTCGGGGCGTGGTTGGAAGTCAAATTTAACTCAATCTTGCTTTCATTCGTATAGACGGATCTAGTCTGACTGCTCCCGAACTTCAGCTAAGCTTGATGTAGTTTGGGTTCATAAACTAGACGTCGTTTTTTGTTTTTTTTGATGGCTCGTTCCCGTCCCCGCAGTTGTTACCCCTCCTCCTGGTGTCCGACCCCCAACATGGCGGCTACAACTGTAACGCTGCAGAGATCGCCCTCGTTCTGACCACCCTCGCCATTTACTCGGGCATCACGCAGGTATTTCATTCACCCTCTCGAAATTGAGAGAGGGCGGTACAAGAAGCTCCAAGTGTATGAACGAATTTTCAAACATTGTACGTTGAATACGGTGGAAGACGAAACGCATTTTGTATCAAATTGTACCCTCTATCACCCTCTATAGCAATGAACGAAATGAACTCTTTGACGTAGCCTCCAAATTCTATTCAAACTTTAACACATATACAAATGAAAAAACTACTCTCGTCTTAACATCCGAAAACCCACAAATTACAGAAAAAGTGGGATCCTTTGTCTTCCTCTGTCTTCAAAAAAGAAGTCAAACCCAGTAGTTTTACTAGTAGTTTCTCAGTAGTTATCAGTAGTTCTATGCGTACTAATTATCTGTTTTTATACCATATGTTTCTTCTGTTCCTGCAATTAGCCCTCGGGCAAGAATTTGCAATAAGCAATAATTAATTTATTACCTTCGCCTTGAAGGTTATGTTTTCGGTTGCGTTCGTGTTTCTGTATGTGTCTGTGTGTTTGTCTGCTGTGCGTGTGTCAACACGATAACTCGAAAATGCTTCTATGGACAGTCTTGATACTTGGTACGTTTTGATACCTAGAAATGATTTTGGCTCCCCTGGCGGTTTATTATGGTACTGTACTGGAGGTTTCGGTTTTGATATCTCGGGATCTGGACATGCTATCGTCACAAAATGTGGATGATAGATAGCTATTGTGTATTGGAAAGAAGTGATGTGAGTTTGGGTCACCTATCTGCTTGTTCTGGAACTGCAAGGATGGTTGTTTAGAAGTATTTAACAGGATGCCTCAAGAAACGGTTGACGGATCGTATGTAGGTACATGTAGCTTAAGTGACGATGAGATGAAACGATAAGACGATAAACAATAAGATGGAAATATGCAAATCAGTATCTAATTTGCATAATTCATGAGTACATTTTACTAACCTGCTACGTTCCATGATAGATTAATAATTCGTCATTCAGTCGTAATGATTAACATCATTTAGTGAAGGCATGAGGTCGTGAAATTATTATTCTAAAATTTCTTCTTTCTTTATTTCATTCTTCTTATAAGATATGACATGAAACAACGGACAAGAGACACAAACAAACATACGGGCCGTAGGGGCTGATGAATACCTACAGACTTTAGTAAACTCAACTCAACTCTTTATTTGTATTTACATGCATTCGTTTTATATTCTATCATTTTATCATTTATCATTTTATAAAAAAAGATGACTAATTTTCTGCGATTCTCTCCCCTCAAGGCAACATTGAACCCTTACATCGCGTCCAAGTTCACCTACAAGTCTGTGTACGTGTCCGGAGTTGTACTACACGCAGTGGGGATCATCTTACTCCCGTCCATGGTCAATATCACAGGGGCCATGTCGAGTCAACATGTTGCAAATCAAACAGAGACCTCTAGCGATTTGACACTGAACTTCGCAGCCGATTCTGAACATGCCTTGATTTCACCACCTGCAAGAGAGAGTCGCGTACAGCCAACTTTACAGCACATTTCAGCATCTTCGCAGTTCGTAGTAGCGACGGCAGAAGTGAACGCGACAGCCGCCAGGTCGCTTATCGGCCAGTGTCGGCTAGACGGGGACAGTAGGAAGGGCGCCTCCAAGCGTCCGGCCTCAGAACTGCAGGCCAGTGTCTGGGGTCCGCTGCTGCTTGTCATATTGCTGATGGAACAGGGAAGGTACGGTACAGCTAAAAAGGCGTTAGATTTTCTACGAAATCAATCAGGCACATGCAGCTTCATGTAGTTTCACGGCGATTTCTTGGACAAGTCAAGGAACAAACTGGTTTGAAGTTTCTTGGATAAATGCCTTTCCTTCTTCTTTCAGTCATCAATCTGCGCTGGTCGCCATCGTGATGGTTGGAAACGCCGGTGTTGTGAGTAACGTGCCTCCTACCATCATATTTCCTAGCCCTTCAGATTAACAAATAACAGATAACCTTTATTTAAGGGTTAATGACCCGCCCCGAGGTGAATATGGTGTGATAAAGCCTTTTCAGTTGCTATAACCACCGAATAAAGCCACCAAGTGAGCGCAGCTATCTGGGTCACAGACAGGGAACAGGTGTTCTTATGGGAGTCACCCGAGGTCATTGGAACACATTATTTTTGGATTTTTTAGAACTAGTGCCGTGTTCTATTGGGTCACCTGAGGTCATATGCGGGTGATTATTGGGTTGTTTAATGTATGGATTTGGATGAATAAATACCCGATTTTGACTCTATTTGTGACATTACGGCGTCATATGGAATGTGGAATGGAGCCTTCTGATTGGTCAACGTCACCCGTCTATATGATAATGTACATTCATGCCTCATCGGGCTAAATACAGGTGAACAGATGAAAAGGTAATATACATGTTTGTAGTAAAAACTGGACTACTGATGCTAAAACTACTCTAATACAGAAGTTCGGCTTCTTCTGGTTTCTTTGTGATGTTAAAATTATAATTTGAAATGGATGATCACAGCGCATACGAATGATGAATTTTTGCTATAAATTAACAAATCTCAAGACACGAAAAATGTCGTCAGGTACAATAGCAATACGAGAAAAAGTAAGCATGAAAGTTCATCTGAGTTGGTAAAATGAAAAAGAAATTAACGTTAGCTCAACAGAATTTTTCAACTGAATCGCTCAGTCTTCGTCCACTTTATGACCCAAGTGCTGTGGACACGTGACTTTTAACCACGTGTGACGTCAGCACCGGGTCAAAGTTCGTCGGAAGTCAGTACCGCCCCCCGTCACGGTTGATTGGAAAAGCATTTTCATTTAAAGGAGTCTTGGGGTTGTACAAAAATCCCTACATCGATCAAATCGAGAATTTTCATACCTACAATTCCATGTTGTAAAAAAACAAACATGAGGAAAAACAGTATTTCACTCCATGGAGTGAAATAATAAATGCTGATGTTTGTAATGATGTCCTTTACTTTGGCAAAGCAATCTACCCGGGGGACAGTGTACGGCATCGCACACACCATGGCGGATCTGGCGCAGCTGGTGGGACCGGCGGCGAGCGCCAACCTGTACGCCTGGACCACCGACAACGGTAGGGCGGGGCAGCTCCCGGTGGGCACTAGCCAATCACAGTCACAACAAAACAATCACAGTCACAACAAGACCATCACAGTCACAACAAAACAATCACAGTCACAACAAGACCATCACAGTCACAACAAAACAATCACAGTCACAACAAGACCATCACAGTCACAACGAAACAATCACAGTCACAACAAGACCAACACATTCACAGCAAAACAATCACAGTCACAACAAGACCAACACATTCACAGCAAAACAATCACAGTCACAACAAGACCATCACAGTCACAACAAAACAATCACAGTCACAACAAAACAATCACAGTCACAACAAGACCATCACGGTCACAACAAGACCAACACAGTCACAGCAAAACAATCACAGTCACAGCAAGACCAACACAGTCACAACAAGACCATCACAGTCACAACAAAATAATCAAAGTCACAACAAAACAATCACAGTCACAACAAAAACCTCACCGTCACAACAAGGCCATCACAGTCACAACAAAACAATCATAGTCACAACAAGACCATCACTGTCACAACAAAACATTCCTACAGTCCTACATTCTCTCCGGAAGTATTTGCGGAGAGGATGTATGACTCGGGAGCTTTAAGTAACCAGGCTACTTCAAATGCTTATCAAAGACTAGAAAAATTCACCAGAGATATGAATCCGGTTTCAACCAACGAAATAAACTTCTATTTTTTACTTCAGTAAATTGATTGGGTGTCTAGGTGTCTTTCACCTACTTACATTTCCATGTCCGTCATAGATTCCTCAGAGCTTCTACCTGGAGTTCTGCTTCTCGCCGCTATACTAATATGCATCCGATATAGGTGGCGCTTTTGCAGCGAGAACACAATCCCAAACGTGGCTAAGTTTGTATCCCCCCTCAGTAGAGTACATGGTAGTCTGGACCAATCCATGCAAATTTTATGCAAATTTATGCAGATTTATGCAAATACAGTAATGTATGCAGATGTATGAATATTTCATAATTTTAATGATTATGCGTTCATTTATTGATAAATATGAATATTAATGAATAAATATGAATTAATTTATGTATATTTTTGATATGATATATTATGACGTCATTGGAAGGGGTCAGATAGAGTTCAGTGTGCACTTTTGAACCCGGTTACCTGGGTAACCTGTCGCCTAGGCAACGTTTTGTGAAAAATGATGCCACGCCCACCGACACTGTTACTTTGACATGGTTAGCGCCAGCATTTGCGGTAGATGATTGGACGAACGGAAACGTAGGTGTCGTGATTTGTGGATCCGAAGTAGTCGATTGGTGTGCATGTACTTTGCATGTGAAGTAGGTGACGTACTTCACGGCGATTGGTGGAAGGTCTGCGAGTGTTGGTCTGAAACCTGTATAAAGTGGCAGCAGAAACTGGCGAGAAACCAGTCCCTCTTGCGGAGACAAAACTGCGTCGAAGTCGGTCGGTAGCGAACAAAAATAGAGCCCGAAATGCCATGGCACATCAGGAGAAAAAGCAGCAGCAGAAGCGCAAGTCTTCACTGGTGTGTGTTTGTGTGTCTGCATCTATTTATACATATATCGATATAAACGTGTTGCTCCGGAGTAAAATATTACTCCGGAGTAAGTATTTTTGGAGTAAGATATTACTCTGGAGTAACTATATTACTCTGGAGTAACTATTACTCCGTTTTGGAGTAAAACTTTTACTCCGGAGTAAGTTTATTTGTAGCAAGTAGCAAGTTTATTTGTCATGCATGGTTGTCGGTATCGTGTATTGTCACATGATGTAAAGATATATATATATATATCGTATATGCATATACATAACAGTCGGAGTATGTGTGTGTGTGTGTGTGTGTGTGTGTGTGTGTGTGTGTGTGTGTGCGTGCGTGTCGTGT